TATTCAAACACAGGACCATATTCATATTATCTTCCCAGTCCGCTATGGTCTTGGCAATAGGAGAATAAAACTCATAAGACAAGTACCAGAGCAGAAGAGCAGGCTCCTCATAAATCAGGTAAAAAACAGGAAAAAAGTGTAATAGGAATGAATAGAAGTAGTAAACAAACACATAAGAAGAAACATTACTAGGCTACTGCTTAAAAGAAACTAAAGAATTCAACCTTTCCTGGGTGCTTGTTTAAAAAAAAAAAAAATGTAATACTGCTAAAAAACTGCTGTGAGACTAATTTATTATTACAACACGACAAGAAAGTGGGGATGATCTTGCAGATATCAAAAAAAGGACATAATGTTCTTTTCTTCAAAATATTACTGATAAATATCCCTAAACATACTCTTAAATATTCTTCTGTAAAAGGGTTTTGTCACAGGAGTCAAATCTGAAGATTCAGTTATCACACTTTTGGATCTTCCTAAATTGAAAAACTAACAGAACACCCTCAAACCCTTGATTTCTTTAATGATGTGCAAGAACCTTTTCTTTCAACGTATCTGAAAGAAGAAATCAGTGAGGGAAAGAATACTGAAAGTTATCAGGCTGTGAAACAAAAACAACACATCCAGTTGATAAGAAAAATGATGTTGGAAGCTTGAAAGCTGAAGACAGACATTAGACAAAAGTTTGTGCAAGAGAAGGCAGAAGAAACAGAACTGTACTACACTTTAAAGTTTTCTCAATACAAGACAGATTTCTCCACACTAATTAAAAGCTTCCCTTCTTCTATGTAACACAACTGTTAATACAATTTGTATTTCCAGACTTACTAAAATATAAGTGAAGAAAAACCATGAACAACCTTCAACAGTCATCAGAATCAAAATCCACTTGGTTTTTCAGATAATGGTCTCTGCTAACCCAACTGTGGAGTCTGGCAGCAAGCCTAGATGAAGTAACCTATGGAGTTATAGAAGTTCATCACCTTGATTTTGAGGCTACCATTATTTTTCTTATGGCAGTTTTTCTTTATTTATTTAACAATCATAACATTTATTCAGACAATATTCTGAACAGCTATCATTCAAAACAGTTAAAATACAAACTTTGCAGTTCTTTAAGAACTGCATTGGCCACACATCCACAAAAAGGTCCTGGGAAAGGAGTTAATTTTATCAGGATTGCTGATAAAACCTTTGTTTTTTCCTTATAATTTCATTAAGAGTTACACAAAGAGCATTGGTAGAATAAGTTAATCAAGCAAGTTCTACCCCGCTATGTCTACATGAAGGCAGTAAGTTAGTCATTCCACCACTAATTCATACTACATGCTGCTTAGCAGACTGCCTTATTTGAATACTGAATCACTGCATAAGAATGTAATTTCTGAAATGATTTTCTTAAATATACATTTATTTATTTTGAAATTCAATGCTAAAACTTCAACCTGAACATACAGTAATTTATAACCAGACTCGAAATGGTTGCAGGGGACAACACTTGAAACCTTACTTTTTGCCAACTTCAAAAATACAGAATCAGGAGGCCATCAGTAAGTCACACTGAACAAAGAACTTAAACGTCTATTTTTAAACTAATTGTTTCTCTCATAAGTAAAACGTTTACATACCAGTTCGCCTCATTTAATTGCAACTTGATTAAAAGCCATTATGTACTGAAAAGGCATGAAGACCAGAAAACAAGATTAAATAAGGCCACAGAACAGTTTTGACCATGATTACCATCATCAGTCAAAAATTAAAAAATAAAAAGTAGAAAGTGATAGCCACTGTTCAAAGGTTACTTCAAACTCAAACTGGAAACAAATACTTCTAAACATATTTGCACAATTAAATTAAAATCATTAAGTCTGACTCCTTTGCCAAAGCAGGCTCCCCAGACCAGGCTGCACAGGTGAGCATCCAGGTGGGCACTGAACCTCTCCAGAGAAGGAGACTCCACAACCTCTCTGGGCAGCCCATTCCGGTTCTCTATCACCCTTTCTGTGAAGAAATTTTTATGCACATTCATGCAGAACTTCCTATGGTTCAGTTTGTGGCCATTGCCCCTTGCCCTATCATCACACACTGTTGAAAAGACTCTGCCCTCATCCCTTTGCCTCCCACACCTTAGATATTTATAGACATTGATCAGATTCCTTCTAAGTCTTCTTTTCTCAAGGTGAACAGACCCAGGTTGCTCATCCTCTCCTCATAAGAGAGTTGCTCCAGACCCTTTATTATCTTTGTGGCCCTCCACTGGGCTCTTTCCAGGAGATTCCTGTCTTTTTTGTATGCCAGTATGTTATATGTTAGTATCCTAAGATGAAAACTTTTGAGAAAGTGACTTACAGATATTCTTCACGTAAATTATCAGCATTAATTCACCGGTTCATAATTCTTCATTGCATTTAGCTGTCTAGAAATTATTGATCAAACACCTTTTAGATTTGGCATTTTCAGCACAGCTGCTATACACCTTTACATAAAGCAAAGCTGCAGCACATAATTAATACTGGAATGAAATGCCCGTGACCTCCTGTACATATCTTCTAGCACTTTGGCATTCCTCTTCCACCGCCCTCTACTTTAAGGAAGCCAGATGACACTTGTTAAATCTTTACTTTGCATTTTGCCAGCATCTGGTGCCTCAGCCTATTAGCACAATCCATGCTAGCCTTGACAAACGAATGCTGTGCTCCACACACATCTGTGTTTATCTGTATCTTTGGAATAGTCCCTCTGATTTGCTAATGTAATTATTTTGACCGTACTCAACAGACAGCTTCATGGGTCAACTTATGAATGCTCTGAGCTGACATACAACTAGAAAAGCAACCAAAAGCAACTCAGTAATTACTATCTTAATTATTATTATCATTATGACTATGGAGAAAATAACTATTTAGAGAGGAAAACCCTACTTGATGGGTCAAAAATTTATGGTCAATGAGAGTTTTCTAGAGTAAGATTTCAATTTTGATCCCCCCCCAGAGAGAAACTTGCTTTACTCTCCATTTGCTGCAGTAAGACTGAAGATGGAGAGAACAACAAAACAAGAAGAAAACTCACCCCCATAAGCCTCCCATTGGGATAAAAGCCAAAAGGTACTTCATGGTACTGACTCATCCATTGTAGCTATCATGTTAATGGTTAAACTATTTTAATGTATTAAGAACAGCTTTCCTTTCAGGAATTAATATACAAAGACATTTTCCCCCTCACTAATGAAATGGACGTCATCACATACTAACAAAGAAAGAAACCAAAACAATGGAGCAGCAACTTTTACTCCCTTCCTGAAGATAAATATTGCCATCATAGGGGACTATACAGACCAACAGTAAAAGCCACTTCTAATTAGTTCTCTGCACATCCTGGTGGAGTCTTCAAGGAAAGGGAGCAGCAAATCACAGAATTAAAAAAAAAACAAAACAAAAAAACAAGGCAGTATTTAAGAGCTTTGTGGGTTGGTAGAGAACACCTTGAATTTTTTCAAATGGGTTTTCCAGTTCAGATAAAAAAAAAAGAATCTTCATGTAAATGTAAAACAATAATTTATAAAACTTCATTTGAAGTCTTCAGGATCGACATTAAGGGATGGAGTAGATAAATAGCTTGCAACCTCTTCCTGCTCCCTGCCATGGGAAGACAGTTTGGCAGACAGATGTTAATAAGTCCACGTAATGAGACTGCCTCAGCTATTTGCAGAATCAGAACAGAATACATACATACACTCATGGTGATATGACTATTAAAGGGATACCAGGTGAACCTGCCTCCCATACCTTGCGAAACTGTTTTGGCAAAAGAGTGTGACGTGACCGACAACAAAAATGCTGCAATTTTAAAGTAGGAATGTAATAAATTTAAAATGGGAATGGAGCACATGTTTTGAAACCTGATAGCAGAGCAATAACATCATCATTTTGGCTGCTCCAAACTCAGGGCCTCAAGGAAAAACAATACAGAGAACAAGTTGCGTTAAGTACTTGATTCTCTAACCAAAAAAGGTGAGGCAAACAAGATTCTTGAAAACAAACACACAAACAGACACTAAAACAAATTTTGTTTTCGTGATAACTGAGCTGAAGGCAGTGGCAGCTCCAAGTTCTGAACCTCAAAGCTAAGTGCAGAGCACAAAGCGTTTGGATGCATTAGGGACAAAGCTGTCCCAGACGCTCTTTCCACTCTTGCTCAAGAAGTGATTTTCTTGGGTCACCGAACGCATTCATCTAGCGACTTTCACCAAAACTCAAACAGAACTTCACCTCAAAGGACCCAAAGCAAGTTTTTATTTTTTTTTTTTTGTCTTGTTTTGTTTTTGCCTTGATTCTCGAGCTAAAAACACCGTGACTTCGGCAGCAGATTCCAGGTTAAAAACGCGGCCCGATCGCCCACTAAAGCGGCGGCCGCTATCCCGGTTAGAACGGATATCGGGAGGCAACGGCCGGCCCCGCCGCGCGGCTCAGGGCACCCTGCAGGTCCCGCTGTCCTCCAGCCTTGCTGCGAGCTGACCGGGAGAGCGAGAAACAAACCGAGAAACAAAGCGGCTCGGACGGCGAAGCACAACACAGCCAGCACCCAGGGCGCGAAGCCCGAGTTCTGCCCGGACGCGTCCCCAGGGAAACCCGCCGTAGGAGGAGCCCCCCCCCGCCCGCAGCCCCTCACCTCCCCAGCGCTCCGCGCCCACGCTCAGCCCCGCCGCACCTCCCGCAGCCGGCCCGGCCCGGCCCCGCGCCCACCTTGGTTCCCAAAGAGACTCCACAGCTTGGCGAAGATCAGGCCCATGCCTGGCCCAAGCTCACCTCGGGGCACTCGGAGCCCAGAGAGGCGGTGGAGGCTACAGCAGCAGCTGCGGACAGACGCGACCCCGAGGCGGCGGGAGGGCGGGCGGACGGTTGAAGGGGCGGGTATGAGCGAGGCCCCGCCCCTGGCCGGGGGCCGCCCCGGCTCCCACGCGGCCGCCGCTGTGCGTCACTGTGTGCGTCAGCACGTACGCCCCCGCAGGTGGTGGCCGTGCCGTGAGGCCCCAGTAGGCCGCACTGGAGCATCCCTGGGCCGGGTCCTCGGCCCCGAGGCGTGTGGGCCGCGCTCGACCTTAACTGCGGCCGGAAGGCCTGACGGCTGGACAGGTTTTCTTTCCTATGGAAGAAAGCACTGAAAAATGATGGGGTTGTGGGCACTGTTGTGTGGGATGAGTTTATTCGCCAGCACTACATGTCGGGCCGGTGCCCGCAGCGCCGCCCTACCCATGGCGCCCGGTTGCCATGGAAATAGCCGGGCCGCCACCGCCCTGTCCGTCTCCAACCAATCACCTCGGCTGTAGGGGCGGGACTTCCGGCTGCTGTCCCGGAAGGAGGCGGGAGCAGCCCGGCGTGAGTTACAGGTGGGAGCGGGGACCCGTGAGGTGGGGGGCGGGGAGAAGGTTTGAGAGCGAAGTCGTGCTGGGGACCTACGTGCCCTGCAGTGCCTCTGTGCTGAGCTCGCCGCCCAGCGGTAGCTGCCGGCAGGAGCACGGGGACGTTTATCGGGAGAGGATGAATTCAGCTATCCATCCCAGTGGAGGATGTGATCTGCCTTCTCCTTCCTCATTCGAAAGCAGTTGTGTTCCTTCCGGTCCCCCATCACTTCTCTCCGAACCTAAGCTACGTTGCGTCTTTCCTGAGATGCCGGCATTGCAGCTGCCCACACACGGTGCTGAGGCTGCCGGTTGCGTGGGTGTGCTCTGAACCCCCCCAGTTGTATGTTTTTAAAGTTTCCAGGTTCCATTTCTTTTGACTGCTCTTTTTAGCAGAATTGCTCATAGTTCGTGTGCTCTTCCTCTTGGGGAGGCAGGATGAGGGGAAATGGATTTAAACTGAAAGAGGGTAGAGTTAGACTAGATTTTAGGAAGAAATTGTTAACTTTGAGATACTGGGACAGGTTGCCCAGTGAGGTCCTGAACGCCGTCTCCCTGGAATCATTCGAATCATTCAAGGCCAGGCTTGGTGGGGCTTTGAGCTGCCTGATGTAGTGGGAGGTGTCCCTGCCTATAGCGGGAGGATTGGAACTGGATGATCTTAAAGGTCCCTTCCAACCCAAATCATTCTACCATTTTTCTGATACAAGTTGTAACAATATTGTTAAGCTTCCTGTTGTTCCTTACTGCGTGCCCCTGCCCTGCAATTTTTGTTTAGAGCTGTGCATCTGAACTAAGGAGATAAGGAAGTTCTTCTGAGTCTTTGTCCTGACAAAAGAGGAGGTCTTGCTTGGAATCAGTCACTGCATATGTAACATACTTGTGGGAAACTTCTTCATTTGTAACATACCTCTTGGAAAAATTCTGCTTAGGTAACACAGGTAATGTGCATAATCAGAAGAATTTTTGTGTAAGCTATGCATGATAGGATTATCCCCATGCATCCAGTGCTGATATTAAAGAATTTCTGCTTTCTAACACTTAGTTTCCTGATCTTACAGTATCAGTTCTCTTCCCTGAACTAAGCACAGCAATAGTGGATTTCTTGTGTTTGTCACATGAATGCATGCGTTGAGTCCACGCTCCTTACTGTTCATGACAGAGCAGCTCTTCTGCAGTAACACTGTGTACCAGGCCCTGTGAAGTACTCAGGGTCTTTTTGCTTTTCCTGTTATGTATTCCTTGAACAAACACTTGGTTAAGTGTTCATTAACTGTTGTTAAAAACACAGATAATAGAATCACCAAGGTTGGAAAAGACCTCTAAGATCATCTAGTCCACCTACCCCCAATGTTTCCCCACTAAACCATGTCCCTTAGTACCACATCTAAACATTTCTTGAACACCCTTTAGGATGGTGTGAACATTATCCATGGTCTTGATGTGTTCCTTGTAGTGAGGGGCCCAAAACTGAACACAGTACTCGAGGTGCGACCTCACCGGTGCTGAGTGTAGAGGGAAGATCACTTCCCCATTCCTGCTGGCAACACTATTTCTGACACAAGACAGAATCCCATTGGCGTTCTTGGCTACCTGGGCACACTGCTGGCTCATGTCCAGGGCATTGACCAAACCCCCCCCGGTCCATTTCCTCTACACAGTCTTCCAGCCACTCTGCCCCAAGCCTGTAGCTTTGCCTACGGTTGCTGTGGCCGAAGTGCAGGACCCAGCACTTGATCTTACTGAACTCTATCCCACTGGCCTCAGCCCCATTATCCAGCCTGTCCGGATCCCTTTGTAGGGCCTTCTGGCAGACCAACACTTCCTGCCAACTTGGTGTCATCTGCAAACTTACACTCAATGCCCTCATCCAGGTCATCAGTAAAGATATTGAACAGAACAGGCCCAGGTCATCAATAAAGATATTGAACAGAATAGGCCCCAATACAGACCTGTGGGGGACACCATTTGTGACTGGTCACTGGTCATGAGATGAAGTAGAGAAAAATTACAGAGAAGTAAAAGCCATTTTGGGGATGGACAGTGTAATTATTCACCAGACAGCTTGAACATTTTCCAGTAAGGATCAGCTGATCTATTCCTACTGTGATTTAAATACACTCAAGACAAAACTGATCTATAGTGCTTGCATAATTTTTTAAGCCTATATGAAAAAAAAACAAAAAACTGTCCACACACATGTTGTACATGAGGAAGCTGGAATCATATGAACTATAGAGAAAGAGGTTAAGTTTCAGGAAGAGAAATCAGACAGAGAAAGATAATCTCTAAAAATGCGCAGATAGAATGAATTGAATAATAGAATAATTAGAATAAGAGTTTCAAAGATGGGACTCAGAAGAGTCAAAGCTAAATTCTGTGAGGAACCTCTGTGAGTGAATTTTACCAATAAATGGCAATTAGGGACTTTAATAGGACAGGGTTTAGAGGTGATGACATCTTCTTCATGTTTCAGACTGATACTGTAGCCTCATCTGGGAAACTTCCAACATCAAAGATACTGGTACCATCTTTGCAATGTGAGTGTTGTGCACTGCAGATTCTAGACATGTTACTTAGCCTATGCTGAAACCTAATAGATGATAGCATTACAGTCATGTTTGAATTTTTACTCAACATAGTACATTGTTAAAACAGAAGAATCAGAAAGTTGTGCAGCTCAGTTTGTGGATACACCTTATGTTACGCTTGTAAACTTGAGTATTATGATGAAAAGTGCCAAGAAAATATGTTGCTCATTTCATTTCTTTACCAGCAGAATTTAAACACTAAAGGAAGATGTCTTTTTTCCCAAAAATCTCTTTCCAACATGAAGTTGAAGAGTATCTCAGCAAAGTGTTCAGAAATAATGAGGTATGTGAAACAGATACCACTGCTAATCATAGCAAATGCTTCACTAATTGAACACTTCATTATTTTCTGTAACCTTAATGCTTTAAAATAAGGCATTGTCTTGACATTATCCAAAGATTTTTAAATACAGTCCTATTTATATTATAAAATTATTCTTTAGGGCTGTTGGCTCAAAATAATGTTAAATATTTAACCTAAAGGGTATAAATCTGAGGCTTCAGTTTTGGATCCTGCTGCAGGATGATCATGCTGGAGATTAAGTGCACATATATTATTGAAAATATTGAGAAATACTCCCTTACCCAGGGCAAAATCAAAAATACTATAGATTAGTTATGATTTCCTAATGTCAGATGACACAAAAATGATGATGCTTTTGTATATATTTTTAAAAGTTAATTCATAGTTTTGAATCTGCTTGTCCATCTTCTCAGATATATTCTTTCTACAGTACCTACAGTATTACAGAACTCACCCACAATTGTCTTCAGTATTTGCTGCAGACTATTTGGAGTGATTTGGCCATTTTTCCAACAAGTCCTTTTCTAGAAATTTATAAGGTTATCTCTGGAGCTGGGTCTCTATTGCATAGACATTCCTCACTACTGCATACCATACAACCATTATTCCTTCCTTTCATTTAATGTTTATTTTGTGTTATGCTTCCACAGAGCAAGAGGCTATTGTGTGAATCTCTTTAATCCTTATTTTAAAATCTCTCCTTTCCTTGTCAGCTTATAACTGCTTTAGGTACAAAGGAGGCAGAGAGTAAATATCAATCTCTGTTAAGTCATCTATCTCATCCACCAGCTGTCACAACCGTTAGAGTTAATACCAACTTGGCCTCAGTGAAACACGTGAAAAAATTGCTGCTTGAAGAGATCCAGAAGGTTTGTGCAATTGCTTTGTTAAAGCAAAAATAGCAAGATGTTTCATCTTTTGCCTGAGTAAGAGAGCTTTTCATTATTGGAAACTATTCTTTAACTTAATACATGTCCACTAGTATTAAGAATGTGTAGACATATTGATTTCCTGTCAGCATTAAATGTTAAATTAAAATTCATTATCTAGCAGTGTTCAGCATCTAATACATCCAAGAAAATTAACAAGGAAGGGAGAAAGATAATCAACTTTTTTTCTAAATGGCTGATAGAGACCTTAGATAAGCTTAGGTTGCCACTGTAGTAAATACAGTACAGACATCTAAGTCTGGAGAAGATGGAAGAAGAAACAGTGAAAATCTGTAGTTCAATATACTGTGTTTAGCAACTTATTTTTAGTAAAGATTAAAGGAGATTGAATGAATATTTCATTCTGAAAACTGTTTGGGAAATGGAGAGAATCTGCATGACGAAAAATCTGCTGCCAGAGTGATGCCCTGCAGCAGCCATGAGTTTTTTTACTACTTGTTAATCTTCTGACCATTTTTTTCAATTTTTACTTACCTAAATTAAACATTTTATGCTTGATAATATATAAGCCATGATGTAGAAGAACTGGATTATTTGGAAGCTCTATCCTAATTCTTCAGTCTGTTTAAAAAGATCTGGTTCTTCAAGTAAATTATTGACGTTAGTGGGTGCACAGGGAGCTATTGCATGACAGGAGCCAAGATGCTTCTGTGAAGCAGAGGCAGTTGACAGTATTCTGTTGGCTAGAATGGTAATGAGTTACGCTAATTTTAGCTTGAATCTGGAAATGGGTACTGCAGTACAATATTTTGCTTAGAGGGAAAATGCTTTGCTGAAATCTGCATTGGCTGGCTTTTCATAACTTCTGGTATTTTTAATAGTGGTCATATTAGAAAAGAAAGTTTATGTAACTTTCTGAAAGTTTATGTAACAGTTTCTAGCAAAATTATGCAAATGGATCATTTTCTTTGTTAAGAGATAACATTTTCTGGATGCAAATTAATGATAGTTTTGCATGTTTGGGGTGCATATTTTAAAAGCCTCAAGTAAGCAGACATCTTTTTAAAGTCCCAGAATCATTTTAAAGGTGCAACTTGCCATTTCTTTTGCAACTTTATGCACAATCCAGCTCTCAGTATTCAATCAAATTTAAGTTGAAATGAGAAATAAAAACAGTCTTGTCAGCCACTCTGACACACAGACAATGTGTGAACTCAGACAATGCATGTATAGAGCTTAACAGTGACTTGCAATTAAGAATAGTAAAAAAAAGAAAAAAAGTGATTTATAATTAACAGCATCAAAATCATAACAAATTAGACCCTATCTTCAATGTGTGTGTTACTGTGATGTGATGATAACCTGACACAAATTTCTTTCAGCAGAGAGTGAAAACAAGCAGTAGGGTTATGAGCCTCAGGACACTGTCCCACTCTCCAAAGTCAATTTTCTCAGTGAATCCCTTTATAGACTTGTTACTTCTCTATTTACTCATTATTTAGTGTTTTACATCTATATTTGTATTATGGATTGTCTCCCTATAGAACATTCCCTTAATCTCTCTCAACTGTTTTCTTTTTTTTTTTTTTTTTAATGTACAGCTCTCAATTATGAATGGAAAAAGAAGTGTTTTCAATTTAATCAACTAGTTAAATATTAGCTTATTAGTCTTATTTACTGTGCATTTTTGTTTGTTTGTTTGTTTTAATTTAACTTAATGTTTAATTTAATTTAAATTAGCAGTTTAAAGGAACCTGTGTTCCAGTTCTTGAGCACCCACAACTCCGGGACATCTTATTAATTCCTGCTATTGGACCCAGGTTTGAATTTTTCAGTGTTTAACTTTAAAAATACATATTTTACTTGTAAATTTAATTTTAAACAGGATAACTAACTGGCAGTAAGTAAAGCACAACTTCATTTATACTGAGGCCTAGCAGACCATCACTATCTGAACTGGGTCATAGTTTTATTCTTAAAGGATACAAGAAATTGTATGCAGAGACAGTTAATTGTCTAAGAGATAAAGTTATTAAACAGAAAATGTGACATAACTGCATCCTCTCTGGAAAGCCAGGTAGATGGCAGACAGAAGAATTAAACTTTTGTGGAGGCTGGATAGAAAGTTATTGGGTAAAATAGATAATGCAGTGTTTTCTTCACCTGAAATCTGGTCCAGAATGAGACCTCAGGAGATTGGCATCAGTAACAATGGAAGGATTCCTGAATAATTTTTATCCCCTTCAGAATGATTATTTATTTTTAAGCTATATCTGGCTATTTCTATTGCTGCTTCTGTCTTTGCCCTTGGAGTTTCTTCAGTTTTATTGATTTCATTGAAGAACATTTTATTTGAAATATCTTGTTCATCATTAAGACTAACATATTTTGGTATGTAACAGGATTAGATAGATCCTAAAGAAGCAGTTTTAGTTAGTAAATACTGCATTCACACTAAATCTTTAAAAAATTTTGTAGAAACTTTTTCTGAACATTCTGTTCTTTTTATAATTGAACATGTTTACACTTTAATTGCTTTGAGTAAATCTTCACAATTCTTACTGGCAAAATTCCCTACGCCTTATCATGTGTTTATTATAGAAATACTTAGCAGTTGTTAAATACAAAGTCACGTTACAGTCATCTGGTCTAGGAAGGGATAAGGACTATTTCTTGATCTCAGTATAATTTATCTGTATTCCTATTCTAATAGTGGTAGAATGTGTCTCAATCTGGTTTATTTTGAGGACTGTATTGTAGTTGTTGTTGTTGTTTTCTCCTCTGTCCTGATTCCTCTGGAACTAAAATTAAACTTTTTAATTGACCACATGATAGCTACATATTTTTTCTTCTATACTGTAAGGTAAAAAAAAAAAGTATGAACCACAGAGTTTACTTGGGAGAGAGAGAGATTTCTTTCAGTATTTTGTTTTTTTAACTGAATAATTGCATCCTGTGCTTTTAGGCAAGATTTAAAAAAATATGAGTCTGAAGTCATTGTTGGAGCACAGTGTGGGTACGCAGTACTTCGAGGAGCGCACGTTTATGTTCCTGGCATCATATCTACTTCAAGATGTAAGAGTTCTCTACATTTAAAACTTCTAAGTAGGGAAGAAAAAACATTACCCCTCAATTAATTTCCAATAAATAATGTACTTTGTTTTGTCTTCTGTTCACAGCTGAAATTAATCTTATGTTATACAGTCAATACATATTTTATCTGGCTTTTGTTGGAAATTTTCAGTATTGCTGTGTGATACATAAGAAAATGACACGAAATTATTTCTCATTTTAAGTTCCCCTCACAGTATTTAAAACCTTAGCTGAAGTATTCGTCCTCAGAGATTTCATTTTCTTATATTCATTTTGGAAATCTTTTTCAAAGAACATGTATGAAAACCTGTCTTTTAAGTGTTTTTTTGTTTTGGTTTGGTTTGGTTTTTTAAACAAGTGACACTTTCCTGTCTTGGGGGAAAAAAAATGGGTGCTGCAACAAATGGATTGTAGCTGGATGACGTTGATGGTACCTAAATGTTAGCTGGATGTATGTTGATTGTGTAGGGAACAGTATTTCAAGAAGTATTTTCTCTTCATATAGCCACAAAGGCAGTTAACTTTACTATCCTTTCAGATTCCAACTTACAAATCTAGAAAAATAGATTTTTTCCCAGTGATAATTCATTTTTTATTGTTTATCTATGAGACACTGAGTAGAACCTTCTTTTTCAGTTGATGAAAAAATCTTCAGTTTTAATGCCATTTTCTTTAGAAATGAAAATTTGTGTTTTTCCATCTTTCAGCAGTGATGAGACAAGATAAAAATCTGCTAGGTAACCATGTGGACATATAATAAATAAACTAAAGGCTTGTCTAGCTGCTTAAGAAACAAGTCTGATTTGTAACTTAGTGGTTCTCAATAGCTCTAGATAATTGATAGTCATCATTTTTTATGCATGCTTTCAAGCTCAATGCCTATGAGGTCATTTATTTTGCAGTGATATAGGAGGTGAAGTAGTCTACTGAAAACCCTAAATTATTTGGTCCTTACTGGCAAGTATAAGATTAAATTCAAAATTTCTGTTCTTTGCCCAGTTGTGAAGGCTGGAGATTTAGTCTCAGTCTATTCGGATATTGAAGGGAAATGTAAAAGAGGAGCCAAAGAATTTGAAGGAGTCAAAGTTTTCCTTGGAAATGGGATTTCAGAACTGAATCGTAGTGACATTTTCAGTTCGCATGGCCGAATGACGTAAGTCCTTGGTAACAGCAATCTGTATCTATAGATATTTCCAATTATAAATGTAGATTTTTATCATGGTTTATCCAACTTAATGATGTCATTTTAAAGAACATCAATAGTAAAAGTATTTTTCTTGGCTGATTTATAATGGTTTCATTTTTGTAAGGTTTTGTTTTGAATTTCTCTATATAAGCATAATGATTTTAATAGTGTTAAAAATGATACACCTTTGTACTTGAAATAATTGTTCTGTGTTTTTCAGTGGGTTAGGCGTAAGAATGACAGAGCCAGTCTATCTTAGTCCTTCGTTTGACAGTGTGCTTCCTAGTCATTTATTTTTACAGGTAGGATTCTTGCCAAAATAAAAATCTGTACTGGTTGCAGAACAATGAGTATCCTCTGAGCACTCGTTATAGCAATACTCATTGTGTGTTACAGCACCTAATTATCTGCTTGAATTTAAAGAAAACAAAGAATGAATGTAGTATCTACATGTTTAAGTCAACTTAGGAGTTATTTATTTACTTAGAGGTTCTTTTTGCACAAACACTCCATAGAACCTTTTAGTTATTGGAATCTGCCTTATGAACTACAAGACACGAGCCTCTTTCAAGGCACCCACTTCTGTAGATAAGGAGGAAAATTTTCAAATAATTGACCTTAAATTGAAGAGAACTTGAACTTGACTGGTATTTTTTAAAATATAAATACAAACATTCCCTGGGTTTAGAAAGACCCTCCAAAAATTAGTTTTACTCTGTAAAGCAAATGTAAATTTTATCTCAAATAAGCCCTCCTTCAGTGATATTCTCTGAAATGGTAAATTACTTCATTTGATATGTATTACAATCACTCAGATTTGTTCTGCTTAAACAGTTAGCACAGTTCAGCTTCTCAGTACCTTAATTTAGCAACTTTAAATTCCTGCCTATTCATCTAATTGCTTGATACTAAACTACACCAATATGTTTCAATAAACCAAATGAGTATAAAATCCTAGTAACATACAGAACTACCCTATGTCTATGGTAGTATCAATTATTTTCAGTTTTAGCAGTGTAGCCTCCCTAGCCACAAATCCTTAAACTTTAGTCATGGATACTCACATGTGGCTTTAAATAGACAAGAGCCAATGGAGACTTCAGACATGTACTGTCTCTTTTAAATATTTCATTTTCTGGTAAGGAACCAACAGCAATATCTTAAGTGTCTTAAGTGCTGAATTTTATGTTTATTTTTAACATGTTTATCATTCCTTATTCCAGGACTTGGTGTAGGCCATAAGGTTTGAATTCTCCTGTTTTTGTTTTTATGATAGAACTTACCTTCAGTCGTTGTCAGCCATGTTTTAAACCCTCAACCAGGAGAAAGAATTTTGGACATGTGTGCTGCACCTGGAGGAAAAACAACCCATCTTGCAACATTAATGCGTGATCAGGTAAGAGAAGTCACTGCGCATTTTCTGTCTCAGTGGAGAAAGTCTGAGCACCATCATTTTAACAGATCTGTCAAAATGCATGCAGATAACTTAGAATAGCAAGCCACCAATACTCGAACATTCTGCTTACAGTGTATTTTGTTAGTAACTGAAATGAGCACAGACTACTAAAAGGTTGCCATCCCACTTAAGACCTGATTTGCTGCAACTTGATGTGGTGTTGAAATATATGTTTGCTTTCACTTATTTGTAATGGAAGAATTTGTTGCCTTGCACGTTACTTAGAAATACGCTGGATTAATGAAACTGAGGATTTATGGGAATCACGGGTTGCTGCTGTGTGCTGAAAGAATGTGTAGTTTTAAAGTAGGATTTGGGAACGGCTAAATTTTGAGGATTTGTTACTGTCCAGAGCCCAGTCCAAACCACCATTTTTCCCCAGATGTCTTAGAGGAAACTTTTGCAGTCATGATTGGAATGGGCCAGGTGGGGGAGACTTGTTGTATCTCAGTCTGTTCATGTTGCTGAGTGCCTCTCAAGACAAGAAATTATCTTAGTATGTCCACAGTACAGCACATGTGCAGTAAAGCCACCATTTCAGCAACAGCCCTAACAACTTTTCAGCACCATCAGAACTTAAATGTGCATGTACAACAGGGGAGAAGCAGTGGCATCAAATCATTGAGTGCTCATGTCAGAGGTGATTTAGCTCACAGCAGCTGGGGCCTAGAAACAATTGAAACAACATAAATCCTTTTCTTTCTTTCCAGTCCTACACCAACAAATTGGCTAACGTGGTTACAACCAGTCAACCAGTACCTTCACTAACTTTTTTTTCTTTCTTTCTTTTTTCTTTATGCAGTCTACCTATTTTTTTATACAGTCATGTTGCTCCTCCGTTAGTCTTCTAGAGAGCTATCACCAAATAAAAAAGAAATAATCATGTTTTCTCAGAAGATCTGAATTACTGTAGCAATTCCATTCATAGGTGTTGGTCTTTGGCTATGAGTTGTTTGTTTCCCTTTTTTCTGTTTTTTGAAGGTTGTTTTTGAAGGTTGATTTCTGTTCTGGATTTCACTTACAATACTGAAAAATGTTTTCTTTCCTGTTTACAAACTTCATCTAGCAGGTAGTGGTGTATGTCTGTTTTGATTTGATTTATCCTGCAGAGAAAAAGAGAATTTTTATTCCTAGCTGAAAGGAATGATGCAGTATTTGTCACTACTGTGAGTGTAATGGTATTTTATGAACCTCAGCCAGAGGTACAGCTGCAAGTCTCTTTTTCTCAGAACTGAGCTGTATGTAATAAGATTTCCACACAAATTTAAAACCTGTTTACCTATTTTACCACATATTTAAGACTTCTACCTTTTAACAAATTATCTTTTTTTTTTTTTTTACCTAATTTAATGCTCAGTAAAACATTACAAAACAAACAAGAAAATACAAACAAAATTGTGTTGAAAGTCAGACAGTATAGGTTCCCATTTTGGAGTGATCATGCCAAACAGGGTATATAGAACTCCAGACCATTATCTACCCTAATAGGGGTGTCATGGAAAACATGGGAGAACAAGGACTACTGGGGTGTAGATTTAAAAATAATATCATTCTTTAGGGAAAACTAAGCTTCATTACCCTGAGCAGAAAGAAAAAAATAAATAAATCAGGAACTGCATATCCACTTAATCCCTATGCTTTCAATTAAAACAAAAACAAACAAAAAAACCCCAACCAACTCTTTTTTTTCAGGGTGAAGTAATAGCAATGGACAAGATCGCTAACAAGGTCAAAAAAATTAAGCAGAATGCTGAATTACTACAGTTGAATTGTATAAAGGCATTTTGCTATGATGGAACAAAAGCACTGACAGCTGAGAAGAGAGAGGATAAACAAGGTAAAGTAAACAATTTGGATAACAGTAGTATTAAGAATAAATGTCAGGTTTTTATCAGTAGTATTAAACCAGTCACCAGTCCATAAGTTTTTCAAATCCTGGCAGATAGCTCAGCTGCTTCAGCCTGTGGAAGTCCTCCTATTTTCTTCTCTGTTGTGATTTTCAGCTTCTCCATAAAGCAACTACAAAGGTCAAACTATCTGACCTTATCACAACCTAATATGCTCAAAAGGAATGCATTCCCTTTCCAGGTAGTATCAGAGATTGACGAAACCTTAAACCTTCTTTCATGATAATACTTAACCACATACTCTGTACTGTTTTGCTTAGTCTGAGAAATAAATTACTTCTGCAGAATTGCTTGGTTTTTCTGCCTCAAAATCCTCATCTGTAAAATTGGGTTATTAATACCTAATTCCCAGTAGTATTGCAAAGTTTAGTTCATTGATGTTTGTTCAGCTGTTTAGGGGAAAGCAATAAAACAGTGTATTATTTTGAGTTTCATTTGCTTTTCTGAAGTACTGTATTTATGATACTGGTTCTGTTCCCATGGTGGAACGATTTAAGCAGTATCTGCTGTCTAGATTATTTTTAGTTTGTTGTGCAAAGTGTGCTGTTCTTTCTCACTCTGTTTTATTCCAGTGACTGGTTAGCCTAAGTAGGGATCAGGTTGCGTAATTCACCTTCCTTGTCCCCATCCCTTATTGTCATTCCTGTTTTGCAGGAAATAAAGTATTTTTCTTAATCATCTATGAATGTAAGATATTGTAGGTGGTTCGTAGCACTTGCACAGATGAACAAGAGCTAGCTATAATACTGAGAGATCATGAAGGCTTATCTGTACATCCCTGCAATTATGACATACGACATATTTTGAAAGCTGAATTAAAGGTAGATAAATCAGTAGTGCCAAAAGAGTCTCATCTGGTGATAGTGGAACAATCTAGGTAGCAGTAATGTGAAGTCATCCACTCCTTTTCACTTGTGACCTGCTTCCTTCCATATTTCAGGAAGAGAAGAAGAAAAGGAGGCAAAGTGCTAAATGTCTCTCTTCCTCATTGGTTACTCAGATACACATACAGAGCTCCTTTTGTCTTGGTAGTCCTGAGCTGAATTGTTTCTTGAGCACTACAGCAATAGATATTTTGGGGCTCTTAAACTAGTGGGATTTGGGAAGGTGAAAGGACAGGCTCTGCATAAAGAAGGTACATATTTCTTTATCTACCCAGGCAGTATTCAGAGGTAGCACCCATCTTTTCCATCCTTCTTTACTGAATTGTTCTGCTGCAGAGGCAGCATGTGGAAAAAACTAATAGAATTTGAATGTCTAGTATTTTATGTTATCAAGTGCTCTATTTTCTGTGTGAATTGCATGAAGATTTATATAGGCGGTCCAATTCTTATTACTTAAGGCAGTCTTAGTGGTTAACGATGCACTTCTCTCGGTTTGATCACTTATGAGCTGTCTATGTTTCATAACAACTTATATGCACAACTGTGCACCTAGCACCTCTGACCAATCTTAACTTCAACATGCTTGTTTTTATGTTTATTTTCAAAATATCAGTTGAAAAATGTTGATATCTAAAGCGATTATGCACTATTTGAGTTCACAGAACTGTAATTCCTTTTCTGTCAGACAAAATCTACCACCAGCACTGATGAAACTTGTCTCTAGCTGAGATCACTTTCGCAGATACCATCTATAGGACTTTTATGTTTTATGGCAATTAAGCTGTAACAGTCTGCCATTTCCTATGGTGAAGTCTCAAGGAAAGAGGAGATACATTTTACATTTTTTTTTTTTTTTTACAGAAGGACCTCCATTCTTACCAGAGTCATTTGATCGAGTTCTTCTTGATGCTCCATGCAGTGGGATGGGACAGAGACCAAATATGGCTTATTCCTCAACTTTAAAGGAAGTGACATCTTACCAGCCACTGCAGCGCAAGCTTTTCACTGTGGTACGTATTAATTATTGAATAGCTCAATTAAATTGATCATAAACAGTTTTGCAGTGTAAAACTTAACGTCACTTGCCAAAACGTTGCTTCATTTTCCATACCTTTTCAGCAGTTAGGTGCTGGGATGCATACATTTCAAAGTTCTCTCTATTCAGGGCAAATGTAGCACCAGAGTTCCATTAAACATTTCCATAAAACTGCTGTTTTGCAGAATGTCCCTCTTTCTAAATATGTTTCACATCTGTTTGCCCTTTTCTAGGTTTTTCATTCCTAATTATTGTTCCTAGCTGTTTCTACATTGCACTTTTATTTGCTATAATGATACTAGAAACCATTAAGTCTAACCTCTTTCCTTTTCTATCACTGGGTAGTGTTATTAAGGTTTTATTTTTCCAACTACAGTTTCTTCTGTCACAAAACCATCTGCAGTTCTCAGCTTATTCCTAAATTTAATTGAAGAATATTGAAGTATGTGCATTTTGCCTGATTTCCAGCTGGTCTTTTGTTATCCTTTGTCTTTGAAGATCAGTAGTTCCCAGAACACTTAGACTTGTTCTTCTGCAGATGTATGCTAGGGTATAGCCCACTCTTTTGAAGCTCAAGTATTTGATATTGACTTCTAGCCATTGAAATCTCAGTTTCCTATTCTTCTAAAACATTCTTCTTTTTTTCTCCTTAGAGTAAGTAGTGCAGTTTTCTTTATGTTGTTTCTTTTGGTACAAGTTAAAAAACTTAAGTCATTTGTTCAGCTTTGTTTTCTCTCTTTCAGGCTGATGAAGTCAAAGAGAAGGAAAGTTGAAATCATTTAGGAACACTTAAATATTTACAAAACAAGATAGTGTTCTCCTGTCTTTCATAAACCCCCTTTTTTAAGCAAAGTTGATGACAGCATTAGCATTCAGTTAGCCTTTCAGCTCCACCAGATCTGCTGCTAGGTGAAGTCAGTTCACTGGAGCATGGGAAAGATGCCTTTAAACAACAGTAAACAAAAACCTCTGTATTTTTCTATTCTTTTTCCCTTCGGTTTTGTTGGTTTCAGTTTATAATAATTGACAAGGTCCAAGTCACAGAGCAGATGAAAGTGTTTTTTGTGGTGCAGCGTGAACTCTTACCACTTCCTACCTACTCCACTGCAGTACCTAGCCTGCAGTGGTACTATATGGAATAGATGCTGGAGCGCACAGCCAGGAGGCCATATTACAGCTTCCCTTGTTCATAGGAGCACCCTTACCCTGATACTGAAGGACAAGATTTCCTGAAGCTTTTGTAAACCTGAATTATACTTATTCAAAGTGAATTACAGCTTGAAAAGAAGCACAGATATAACCATGCCAAATATATGGAACAGCTGACATCTAATATCAGTGACAGAAATACTGTGTAACTATCAATGCTTGGCAGCATGTGATGAAAACAAAACTAATCTGTATGAGATATGCAGAGCTGCACAAATAACAAATCCTACATGGTGAATCATCTGAGTAGCATTAAGAAAGTGCATGAACTATAATGCCGATTTTGAAAGAAAAGCCTTTCTAATCTGTGTGAACCTTTAATGTATGCCCTGAGAAGAATTAGCATTCCAATGTTGTTTTAGACAGAAAGATTTAAGTGTTAATTTTTAATATTATAGCTTAACAATTTCTTGGTTACTGTTACTTTATATGAAACGTTTTGCCTTTAAATATAAACTGAAATGTTGTTTCTTTTTCCCTGCAGGCAGTGAAATTACTGAAGCCAGGAGGTGTCTTAGTATATAGTACATGTACAATTACACTTTCTGAAAATGAGGAGCAAGTTGCATGGGCCCTGGAAACTTTTCCATGCCTCCAGCTTCAGCCACAGGTACTGGTATTAATAGGATGCTTGACTTGTTTTGGCACCATAAGGGCACTCAGTATATTCACCATCAATAAATCTCTTTTTTACTATAGAGTTTTAACTAGGGATAAAACTAGGGATAAAAATAATACAAGAATTTCTGATGCTCTTCAAACCTTTTTTCATGCTTAATTGAGCTTCACTTAGGGAACATTAAGTAGTTTCCCACTGTGTGCTGAGGTTGTTTTGATTTGTACAACAATCATTTAACACACAAGAGGAATAAAAGACCGCTCAGATAAGTTAAAATTTCTCTTGCTATTCTTTCTTTATATGCATGTATTTTATTTTCTTTTGCTGCCCATTAACAAGAGGTGAAAAAATTTTTATTAAAGTTCCTGAAGCAGTGAAGATTATATAAAGGATGGGAAATAACTTGAAGGAGGATTTTATATGCATGGGAGCCATCTTTGTGTTACATAAAGAATGAAGGAATAAATTTATTTCAAGCTCAGTGGCCCAAGACTGTACCTTGTCTTTTTTAGAGCCAGTGACTGTAAAAGTGCCTAAGGGGAGAAAGTATATAGGGATATACTAGAATTTGTACCCACACTGCCTACCTTTCAAAATCACATCACCTTTATTAGTACCTTGAGACAGTTTATCTGCTTATGTGATGATTTGAAGTGTGTTAGTTGTATGTCATCACGGCATTGAGAAGAAGCCTAATCTGGTACCTGTTCAACAACTTGTGCATTCCTTAATGCCTTGTATCTGTCTTAAGAGTTTGGATGTATCTTTTAACTAAAAAAACTTAAAAAATACACAGTCGTATACAAGAAGAAAATATATGAAGGCTGCCAAAGATTTAAGAGGACCAAAGCTTTTCTTAAAGATTTATATGCCAGGGTTTCTCTGCCCATTGGTACAAATTCAAACTTTCATCTATATTAGAATTGTTTTTCAATTCCAGCTCTTTCAACTGACATCATTAAGTAAAGCTTAACAGCATGGGAAATTGTCCTCAGCAGAATGACAAAGCAAAACTTAAGTCCTATTAACTTAAATGCAAGATTCCGACTTGATAGACTTGATACCTCACCAGTAATATACTTTGAATGAAGTACTTTTTTTCACACAAAAATGACATTTATATAAAAGCTTTGTGTATAGCACAGTTTAAATAAGATGACACTGAATTATTTACCCACAGATGGTCTATCGTGTCTTATAAACAGCTACCCTGCTGAAGTGATCTCTTCCAATGACAAGGAAGGTGGAATCTAGGGTTGACTCACCATATGCTCCTTCACTTATTTCTTATGTTCTTTCTGTCTCTCAGCGGACACCTGCTTTTTACCCAGCCCACTATTTCCCACAATCTCATTTTGGAAACAGGTCTTGGAATCAGGCTGTGTAAGGCAAAACAGGAGGTGGAGCCACCAGTATTGATCTCAGAGGTGGAGGTTACTGCATGACAGCTGATCCTGTGCCTGTGCAGACTTACTGCCTCTTAGGGATTTACATACAGGAGATAATATTGTCTATCAGCTTCAATGTAGTAACTGATCTGGAAGGAAAAGGGAAGAGATAGATGGCAAAACTGGTCTCTGAACAAGCAAGTCAATGCACCCTGGATTTTCTGCAAAAATCCCCTTCTGTTCCAGTAATTCAAGTCACCACCCCTTTCTCCCTTTGTATGTTGATTTTTCTTAGTTTCCAACAGATGCCTCTTTTTGTCTCTTACCTGGAAAGCGCTGAATTCCTGTTAAAGGAAAGGAAGAGAAGAATTGGGCAGCAGCTTCCCAGTTGCCCAGCTTTACAGCTGGCAGTGCATCGTTAAGCAGTTAACTCACATCATGTGCTGATGGGGTGAGCACCTGTGTTAGCAAAGTCTGAGGGCCCGAGAAACAATCTGCTCTTTGCTGCATTACAGATTAACAAAGGAGTTCTTTATTTTGCTATTGCCACACCAGCTTTTACAAATGTTGTTCTGTCTCCTAACTGAATGCATTAGATTAATGATCCAGCTAAGAATCAGCATATTTATTAAATAAAAAGGAGTCAAGGCATCACAGGGAGCGCTAAGAAAAGGGGTGAGGCTGAGAAGACTTCACTCCTATTGTGCCAAATTTTGATGCCAAATGTCCTCCTGAATTCCTTCCTCTGTGTCCTATACAGACGTGTCCCATTTACCCACTACATCTAATTACATAACACAGAAAATCTGAAGCGCCAAATTTTTCTGCTGTATCATCTTCTTCCAAAACAATGCCTCTTTAGGCAGTGTTATTTCATTCTCTCCAGTTGAAGTTTTCTATGTGAAGAATCCAGGTATTTCTATTAGTGTTACTAAGCAATGGACTATGGAATCTCTCTTTTTGAAAACTTGTGGTTGTTTACACAGGAGTGCTTCAGCATTTAAGTGAAAAACCTAAAACTTTCACATGCATTGGCTGCTGCTAACAGCCTTCTTGTGATTGGTAGGGATTTCACTCTTTTGGGACTGATTTAGACTTATGTATGTCACCATCCTCTGTAAGTGGTCCAATCACTAAACAAGCAGGCTAAGTGGGCTTGGCCACACCACCAGCACCCCGGTGTTGGCCATGCTGTATGCACTCATACATGCTTGCCAGATTAAGAAAGGGGGGGCCATGTAACTTCTGAACTTCCCTGCGGTGTACATGATACAAACCTAGCATGTCTGCATTAAATTAGGCAGCTCTGCAAATACTTTACTGTTGTGGTAATTTGCTTTTCTTTGTTACTTCCAAAGGAACCTCACATTGGAGGAGAAGGCATGAGGGGAGCCGGACTGGCACTCCATCAGTTGAAGCTGCTGCAGAGATTTGATCCATCTGCTGGGACTCTGCAAGGAACAGATATGGAGTCTTTGCAAGATTGCAAGGAAGAAGATTTGGTTTCACTGGCAAATAAGGACTGTATAGGATTTTTTATTGCAAAATTTATGAAGTTGAAGGGTAAATAAACATCTAGCAATACAACCTGGAAAAATACCTCTGTGAGCCTAAGAGCAGTTCAGACGTGAAGTGCATGTGGTGGTGCTGCGAGGTTGCCAAGCCAATCGGTGACGGCAGGGTTGCCATGGCAGCACTACAATCTGCCAGCTGTTCTGCTGGGAAAGAGCCACAGGTTGCAGAAAGTCGGGGCTGGGGGAAGGGCAGCATCATTTTTAGGTCTGTTTGCTTTTATATTCACAGCAGGTCCGCGCCTGGATGACAAGTATGTTCAGTAACTTCTGCTTCTGTCTGTTATCTCTCGCTGTGTGAGTGGCTTACCTAGTGCAGGAGAAGTGGGAACAGGGGCTGGGGGGTGGCAAGGTAAGCTCCTCTGTGAAATGCAAGCAGAAATAAAACAGACGGGAACCATTACTGTGAATTCTGGAATAAGCTTTTTCTGTGGAGGTTTACCAATAGTTAATGCTTCATTAAATAGGTCTTGGAACACTGGAACATTTTGCAAATAACTTTTATAAATTGATACTTAGAACCTCATTTCTCTTTTATTTTAATACAAGCAAGATTCTCTGTACACATAGTATATACACGAAATACGATTAGGCTTTGTAGCAGGTCTTTTATAGCAGCATGAATATATTAAACCATCTCACTCTGGGAATGTAAATAAATATTATTTCAACATCAAACTTCCCATGCATAAACTGTATTGGTTCTGAAACAGCCGTCTGGAGTGGCTACCAATGACAACTTTAAAATCAAACATTTGCAATAGAAAGGGCTACAGTTGTGATCAAAATATCAAAAGACAGAAAACAGTGCGTTAATATCATCTGAAATGTTGCAAATCACCTTTCAAACAACTAAGAATATTAACTGGTTAGAAAGCATCAAATCAAATGAAGGTTGAAACGGGGGGAGCATGCTAATGAGAACTGACTCCATACGCTGTCAAAGATTCAATAATTTAAATTTCTCAAACGTGTTGTCTACATTTGCTTCAGTTACAGAGATGTTCTCTGTCTGAATAACATTCTCTTTTTGCAGTACTGTTAGAAATAGCACAAAAATGCAGAGAAAAGACAAGCACACTTCAAAAACCTGAACTGACATCTGCGTTTTGTTGTTGGTTCTTTATTTTTCTCACTGATTAATTTTACACTTTTTAAAAACCGTTCTCTGTAAAAAATATCTTATTTTGCACTCCTAATTATTTGGTTACTAAAAGGGAGACCTTTTAATTTACCTTTGTACTGTCAGAAGTGCTCATATTCAAAATAGTTTATACAACTCAGTAGTCTGGTTCTTCACTTATATTTGTTATAAGTGTTTTGCTATAATACATTTTCTACTCTTAAATAAATTCTCTTCTGTTCTGCTAAGGTTGATCAGCACGTACTCTGTAAGGCCTATCCCAGCAGGATAGGAAGAGAGAATTGTCTTCTTTTTGTAGGTCACACCTTGCTGTTAACCATGACATGCCAAAAGAGGACTGAAAGCTCTCTTGTTTCATCAGTGTTAGCTGAGAAAACCTACCTAGAATCAGAATTCCTCATATTATAAATTACAGTATTTTTAGTCTAAATGTTGCAAAATAACTACTTGCTAAAAAAAGATGTTAGTCTTTTACTGCAAGTACATGTTGAAATCTTCGACTCAGTGCTGGTATACAAAAAGCTTTTTTTTTTTTTTTTCAGAATATATAAATTCTGTAAACATTAATCAGCATACATAGACTGTATTTTGAAATTTGCACATTCATATAAATGGAGGAACTTTTGCCTCCAGTTTCAGTAGCAGGATCTGTGCAGTGTTGGATTTTAGTAAAAAGCTTGCTGAGAATTTCCCATATTTTTTTCAGTTTTGAATCATAATCAGGCTTTTCAGGAGAGTGATCTCATTTGATTTTATATGAGAAACTTCTTAGGGCCAAAAAACACAATTGTAAATGTCTTATATTTGATTCCAGTGTAGTTGCAGACTGGATTTAACTTGAAAAAAACACTGCTGATATCTGAACTTTTAACTAGGGAAGTTACTTTTGAAAACTCACTGCTAGACATAAAATACCATATTCAGTATATTAAAGGGATATGCCTCAGCTGTTTCCCTGCAATCTTCTCTCTCTCAGTAATTCCTGGGAGTCAGGGGGAACTGACAAGGAGAGAAGGAGGAAAGCAGAGAGAAAGAGGGAGAGAGAAAGAGAGACTTCTCCATCAGGCAGTTCAGAAGAGAAATGTAGCTGAGACACTTCAAATCATCCTTTGAAGGAGCCAAGCTCTTTACTTCGACTTGGCTAAGTCAGATGTTTTGAGTTGCATGGATGCCATTCTTTCTTTTTTTTTCTTTCCAATCTGAATTTAAATACTTAATCATTTTCACAACTTTGATGTATGGTGTATTTGTATTTTTGACACATAATAATGTTACTTTCCTAATAAGAATGCTCTGCAGACTGAATCATTATGCTTCAGTGTCAGGTGCTGAAGCACAGTGTATATATTTATTTATTTATTTATATATATATGTATATAGATTAGATATACAATCAGATCCTGTCTATCAAAAAAAAAAAAAAAAAAAAAAAGCCAGAATCTGAAATGTACCTTTCCCTATTTGTAGAAATAGTGATTAGTAATAGTGCCAAATCTAAATATTTATCTCCATCAATATAAAAAATATTAAAACAGCAGCCTAGTATTGTATGACATTATTCTACAGCTTCTTTCTGTTTACTTGTGATAGAAGCCCACCGACTTTCAGACTGGGGGAAATAGGCTAGTCATGGCATTTGACAAGAAATGACTTTGGAGTAGGCAATTTAAAATATAAATAACCTTCTTTCTTACAGTTTGTTGTTCACTACTGAAAAATTATGAGCAAATCCACTTTGGTACGATAAGTGGCAAGAATCAAGTAAGAAAGGAGACAGATAAGTTAGAAGAACCAGCTGGATTTCTATTATATCTGATATAAATCTCTTCTGGGGGCTGCATAGGAACACACAAAAAGAAACTGTCTATAAAATTACTGTGAGATGATATTTATCATGGCTTGTTTTACAAAAAAAGAAAAAAAAAAAGAGGAAATAAATTATAGACAAATTGCCAAACAGTAAATTTAACTGATAACATTTGATTAAAAACATTTGAAATAAAACGTCATCCATGTATTTTAAAAATGAATGAACAACTAAAATTTTGGTAAACAATCTGCAGTAAAGTAAGAAATATAAGTAAATGCACAACAGAAATGCTATGCTACACTCTGAAAAAGAATGTCTCTTCCTTTAGACTGTGTAACAGTTGTTTGCAGTGTGCTTTATTTTCATGGAGGGAATAGAATTTAAGTCAAAACTGCAGGAACAAATAAGAGATTTATCAGAATGACCATTTGGGAAACAGCTTGATCAGAGGTCAAATGTAACCAGAAACAAAAACACTTCTGGAGGAGGCTTCAGAAGCTACCACAGGAGGTACTTGACTGTAACCTTTTTTCTCAGTACAGACCCTGATTAAAAGCAATCAGACCGGTCACTGCATTCCAGGTAAGGGAATGATAATGGACCATCCTAAAGCCTCTGCAGTTGTCACAGAACACAAACATGACTTCTTTACAACCCAATGGAGCTTAAAAATGACAATTGCTAATTATTTTGTACAAAAAAGTATGGCGGGCATGAGAACTGAGCAGGAGCTGCACATAGAGAATGCAAAGGATCTTGATGAGCAACCATGAAGGGAAAAGTGAAAACAGTTCTCTACATTGATTCAGCGTTTGATGAGGAGGACTGACTCTCCTTATTCTCCATTTATAGTAAGGGCATCATTCTACAGGCATCATTCTACGTATTTCTGTGAAAATAAGTACTCCACTCAAGTCCTGTAGCTTTAAGACCTGCCTTAACTAACTAGGGCCAAGTCCTTAGAAGGTACCCTCTATATTTTACACTTTGAAAAGAATAAATTCTCAAAGGCTTCTCAAATTCTAGATTCCTGATGCCAAACACTATGTGAATTCAGCAGTATTCTAGACAAGGTTCTTGGCATCTTTAAATTCATCTTTCTAGGTGGTAGATAAGCTTTATGAATCTATTTCAGAACAGTTTTGTCCAACTCTTAACAGCTCTGTGCATAAATCCTTCTGCTTATCCATTCCCCCTGTCCTGTCCCTTAAGAGGCCTGGAGATTGCCACTGCCACCTCCTTCCAGTCCCTCCTCAAAAATTCTTTCTTCCGCAACATCTGTGACACCAAACAACTGATAGACGTGAGCCTCCCTATTCCTCTGAGAAGATATACAAAAAGTGGTCAACACCAGACATATATACATGCAAATGTTCCCATTCCTTCCATATACTGAAATCCTTTGGAAAAATACAGAGCTTGGGTTGATAAGATTCTCTATGTACAGCTCAACTGTTTTATCTTCCTACCTTTCCTTCTCATTCATTAGTTTTATCTTTTCAGTCCATTTGAATAGAAATGCTACAGGTTGTTTTGTACCACACAAACACAAGAAGACTCTGGAGCTCACTGGGACCTCTAGCATTCCTCAGATTCAAAGCTCCTGAAACCAGACACAGAAATACGAACTCATTAGTATCCTAATGCAACAAATACTAAACTTTCTATCTGCAAAACTTTGCAAATACATTTCATCACAATAACCTTTGATATGTCCTCCATTCGGAGTATCTTTAAAGCTTCTTCTTGAAATAATTCTGTTAAAGTGCTTTTCAAAGTAGTGCTCAGCAGGCAGGTGGTATTGTGCAAAATCTGTAGTACAAGCTCACATTACAACTGATTTGTCACTCCCAGTAACTGAAGAAAAAAATACCTTAGCAAGACTAAATAAAACCTACGGAGTGTCTACCTAAGAAACGTGTTACTATGTTGCCTATACACCGTTAGTTGAACTACAAAACCTAACTCTCTTTAGCTGGATGGAGACATGGCTTTCTTTGTAAGATACTTACATCCTACCAATCAATATCCAAACCATACTTAAATACTGGGGCTTGAACTGTGTGCTTTATTTTTCTCTTTATTTGTCTGTACGTGGGTACCTAAATCCATGGTTTTGAAATTCTGCCACACAATTCTTAGAAATACCTTAAGAAAGGTGGAAAATTAACACCTCCTGTAGCAAATTCAAAAAAGAAAATAACTAAACTATTTAAGGTACTGTAGCAGAATCATTACATCACCTCTTGGAGGCCATGGCTGTCATGTAACAGTTACAAGGAGCAACAGCATTTACCGAAGCTGATAAAATACCTAAAGCCAGGCTATATAGAACAAGACAATACAACTTTTTGCATTTAAACGTAATCTGATATGACTCAAACAACAATTTCTATCAGTGTTTTTTCTCCACTGATACCCTGAGAAACCCCTTGTATCAAAAGCCACTTTTTAGATGGTCTTATCTATCCATTTAGTAATACAAGAGGTCTACTTACCTATGCTTCCTTTGCCTACCAAGTCATTTAGTGGTGTTTAAAGAAATGCTGAGAATTTTGTTTATAAAAAAAATACTCTTTTCCTTGTGTTCCCCACAGTTCATGCCCTGAGCCAAGTATTACCCTTGAAAACCGCAACAGTCAGCAGCACTAGCAGGAATGTCCAGATATCTGACAGCAGAATTTCACCCTCTTGAGTTGTAAAAAAAAACGCACATTAAGCATAAGTGAGAGCAACGTATGTCTGAGGGAGTCAAACTGAACTGTTTGGATGTTGGATTAGATTGGAGAAAGCATGCACCTCCATTTCACTAAAATGTTAGGCAAAATCAGGCAATGCTGATACTTCCCAGAATTAAAATAATAAATAAAAAGAATTTCCAGCTAAATGAATTACTATCCCACTACAGTTTTTATATAATGTGCTATTTACAGTGAAATCTAAGAAGTATTTCATTCATACGATTACTACAAAGACTCTGTGGTGCAGAACAGCCTATACAGGAGGCAAGTGTATGGAAGCTGTTGCCAAAAAGAACTGTGAATTTCCCCTCACTTACCAGTGTCACAGGTGATCAATGCAAAACAAACTGTTTTCACTCCTTTTGCTTTCAATGCATTTTCTATAGTAAGTTTGCAACAGAATATTTTGTCACATTTTTCTAATCTCCAACTGTCAGCACATTTTAAGTGAAGGAAAAGCAATGAACTGTCTGCAAAGTGGGAATGCAGAGGAATTGGCAAGTGTAGAAAAAGCAGAGAAGCTACAAAAATTTATTTTCCAACAAAATAATTCTCCACAAGCTGTGTAAACTTTTCTTACTAAACAAATACTCTAAAACACAAAGATTTTACAGTTCCAGTGAAACACTCACAGTAACATTTGCCTGGTTTTACTCTCTTGAAATCTCAACATGAGCCAGCAGATTTATGCTTTCTCAATTACCAGGGTCAGTAAACTCCCTCATATTCCCTGACTGCAATTTGGATTTTTAAATTAATAACCGAATGAAGAAACAAACTTGTTGGGCTTTTGTGTAACCTTTGTTTTCTTCGATAGATCCTCACACTTTGCTGCTTAACGTGCCCATGCACACGGCTGCCCATCCACTACCCACTCACTCACATACATACCTCTGTCACGTGTGCTCTATTATTCTGACAATAGAACAAAAATTAGGTTGTGCCCATTGCAATTTTGTAACCTGTGTAAACAAGAACAATTTATAGTGGTAAGCTAGTTATCTTTACTGTAAGTTCAAAATGCAAAATTGGGTTTGCAAGGACAGGATAAGTTGTAAGAGTTATTTAGATCCTCTCTCTCAAGCACTCCTTCATATTTACATTTAGAATAAGCTTTCTGCTACAGAAGAAAAATTGTTTGGATTGAACACTGTTACAGATTTCCTAAATGAGGCTAGTTCCAGTTGCCAGTAATTCAAAAGCAAATCTGCTGACTTGGCATTAGGACTCTAAAACAGTGTGATCAAACTTATATAGTAAGAAGGTGTCTGCAGAAATAACATTTATAAACTGTATATACAGTACACAGTACCAGTACATAGAAAATAGATTTTGACCTCATGATCCCCTGTGTGTAAGGCAAGACTGAATTCCGTTCCCAAATGGAGTCCACCAGAGGTACAAGCAACAGATAGTGGCTCTTAAACCAATATGCAAATCAAGTGCATAACAAATTAAAAATCAGAGTAGACAAAAACTTTTAGATTTTTATATGTGCTGATTCTGGCTTGCTGAATACATGGGAAGTTATTAAACATCAAATGTACCTTTGGAAAAAAAAAACACTAACAACACCTTGATGGCAACAGATATTGTTCAAGTGGCAGCTACCAAAAAAAAGCTTGAAAAATGGCATAGTACAACATCAGGAACTCTGCAGCTGTACCACGCTAATTCATATAGCACTAACCAAAAAAATAAGTATATGAATATTCTATTTCATGCTATTGCCATGTAAGCAACAGCAATACAAATCAGCATACAGAAAGATACCATATGTTCTGCAATGAACAACCCAAAGATATTTTCAAGGGGCATTGTTACAAGACTTCCAAGAAACACAAGAGTGCCAGAGGCAAAAGTTACTGACGGATGTAAACATCCCTGTTCCATTCTCCCGCGTCGTTACGTTTTTTAGATATCACCTCCCCATCCTTGTCACAATATTGGTCCCTCGATTTATGACGACTTCGCTGTTTGTTGCATTCATTGTGGTCCTGCTCCCGGTCCCTCTCCTTTGAGCGATGCCTCGATTCTCTATGTCTGTGATCACCATGGGACTCGTCTCTGTGATTGTGATCCCTGTGAGAATCATAGTGGTCACCATGCTCATGTGAGTAGTCCTCCTTTGGCTCTACGTAAGCCGAATCTCTGCTGTCTTGTGTTTCTGAGTCAAAAGTTTCTTGCCTAGGAAGGCCTCTAACACCGCTGCGATGGTTATGGTGTTGGGTTGAAGAGCGATGGTGGGATTTCTTGATGGGTTCAACCCGTGCTTCCTCTTCAATTTGTGAATTGCTGCGTTCAGGGACTGAGTGGTCATTCCTCTGGTCTCCTTGAGATCCCTGCTGTCACAACCACCAGTGAGTTCACATACATGAGGTATGCATTTTAAAACTTTCACCAATAAAAAATTAATCTAGAAAGCATCATGAAACCAAAAAAATTTAAGTACACAACACTCCACTTTGGACCTATACTAGAAAAAAATAACACTTGAATTCAACTTTTACTGAAAATTCAGTATTATAATACAAACAATTATTTCCACTCTAACTCAAAAGGAGAGTGGTGCTAAGGTTATTATTCTGTGAGACTTTCTGTCCTCATGCAAGATGCTTCTGAGTTTGTCAGTTAGCAGTAATTGCCTACCATACTCCAGACAAAAAAAAGAGCATGCAGAAGCAGGACAAACTGCAGAAAAATTAAAGAGGACACATCACTCCAGGAGAGGGCAGGTGTCAGCTCAGAATGTAAAGAGGCCTGGTTGGAACAGACACCATGGAAAACTGACTTTAGAGGGCTGAGGAGACTCCAGAAGAGAATCGAGGAACAAAATCTTGGCTCGGTTACAGTACCTACTTTTTCTTCTCTTCTACTTTTTTTTTTTTTTTTTTTTTTTTTAAGATAAAAACACAATTGGATCTTTTATTAATAATAAAGTTTGTATTATGATACTAATAGTATCACTGACCTCCTGCTTTTCTCAGCAATCGGTTGATTTCGTCACAGGGACAAAAAATTAAATGTTGACCTCATAATTTTAAGAGATTAGGAAAACAGACCATTGCCAAGGAATGTAGAAGGATGGTGATATTATCACCTAAAGAATTTCCTAATACACCACTACTATTAAAAACTAAAAAAAAAAATTACCCGGTAATATCAAACCTACTCTTCAGCAGCATAATGCTTTGAAATCACTGCAAAATGAATAATTGGCATTATTTAACTCAGTTTGGGGTTTCATTCAATTAACCTGCTTTTATTCCCAAACCACAGCTGAAGGTTCATCAAGCTTAATTGCAAAATCTTAAGAAATAGTTTATAGGGAATTTGAATTATCTTTTTCACATTAGCTTAAGAACTTCAAGATAGAAACATTGCTTCTGGCACAAAACTAAAAGTAAGTTTTAACGGTTATACAATCATTTGTTCATGAAACTGTACTGAAGTTACCAAAGTTAGCCTAAAATTTGTACTCTTATGTTCAGAGCCATCAGAAAACAAAGACTGCCTCCAGGGCAGCTCACAGACATACTTCTTTCTGGTTTTGTATGTTGTGAGCTGTGGGAAGGAAGAAATTTTGTCCTTCAGACAGACATCCCAGCAGGTATGTTTCCTAGTAACCCAACAAGTAAAATTACAGGAAACTGGGCAGGAACAGAACTGCATTTTATTAGGAATTTACCAAAATTTCAAATCAGCAATATATCAACAATTTTGATATATCTTAGTATCTAAGACAACATTTTGTATTATAAACTTCTCAGCAACCAGATGAGTTGCTCTATGAGAACAAAGCATCATAAATGGTGGTAGAATTTCTTTTTTTTGTTGTTGTTTATTCTTGTTTTTATGGTTACCGAGATTATTGTAATTTGCTGGAAAAAGAATGCAGTAATTGTAAACATTATTAGATGTGTTCTAGGTGAACTTCTATGAAAGTGAACTATAAATGGAATCAAATGAAAAGCTAAAGAATAAAGCAATGCCTGCTTCAGATGTACAAACATCTTTTTATAAGTTTGCAACCATGACTGTTTTTAAGGCACAAAAACTGGATACAAACATGAAAACAATTTAATTCTCATATGGTCAAATGCTGAATATATAGACTCCTCTACATTCCTTTTGACGAATAAAATCTATCGTTGCTGTGGTTTGAGAATAAATATAAGATCTGAATCTGCTTTGAACAAAATATTGGTTTACAAGCTCAGATGCATCTTTTCTGCTATGATGAGCATGTGTGGAGGAGCACAGTCAATACATTTAGAGCAAGTACCATTATTACTCTGCATCTGCAGACTAGTGCTGAGGCTATTAGGATTTATGGGCAAATTCATTGACAGTTAATTTCCCTAAATATTACAGACACTGAGCAGGTAATGTTTCAGTCTGGACTATGATCTTGTTTATGGCCAAATTAGAGCTCTGATATAAATTAAATTCTGCAGTGCAGAAGTTTCATGGCCCAATCTCATAAGATTTTCACCCGAAATGGGTTGTAATTTCAAAGATTAGGGATTCTTGAAAATAAGTCTAAGAAGAGTTGAAGGAGGATAGAGGAATCCACACACTCAATTGGACTCACTCTCTGTTTCCTCCCAAAGGTTCCCTACTCACCTATATCGTATGTTTGCTCTCAGGTCCTTTTTGGAATTTGCCAGCCACCTCCTACAGGTGGAAATCTCAGAAAACTTGTCAGGACAGTTTTCTCCCAAGCTCTCCACCAAACAGGCAGTAAGGATATGGACTTCTCCCAGCTTCATCTCAAACAACCCCCAGGAGACCTTTCAAGCACCTTGTGCCATGCAGTGCACACAGTCAACACTGTGCTGTAGAAGTAACAGCTGGCAACACAAATCTGTCATTGCAATACACACTTGGGACTAACAAAACCCCAAAACCAACTAGATCTCATGGCAGAGGGGCGCCACATTGGACCCAGAGGAGAATGACTCAAATGCTTTGCTGTGCAGATGTGACCCTGCCAGGTCAAATGCTTTCTCTTTAGAACCATCCACAAAGACAACACAAGACATAATATTCTTCCAGTATAGATCTCAACAAGACCAAGAGAATGGGTTCAGCTATCACGATTAGAAAACCCACTTCATTCCAAGACCTTGACAGACTCAGGTTTGAGGTGTCAGCTGAATGTGTATCAGGAAATTGAAACAAAAGGAACATAGAAGTTTTACATTCCATAAGTAAACTCCTCTGCTCTGCACATTTGGATTAACAGACCTACAAACAAACAGCAAAACCATAAACACACTCTCAATTTTAGTCCTTAAAATAAAAAATTGTTAATTTGAAAGGAGATACAGCTAACAGAACAGTCAGAAACGTGTTTAGTTCCTCCGGAGAATGTGATTAATAAAATGAGTGAGTTATAAATCCACACCCAACAGACGTTAAAAAAATAATTTAAAAAAAACTTCAATAAAAATAATTAACATGTTTACAAAGCAAATCAAGTTTATCTAACAAGTCTGGACACAGCAATACTGAATTTCATACTCAGAAATTCTTCCAGCTCACAATTTTTTTCAGGGTGTTTTCAGCTCTGAGGACAGAAAAAAAAGGCAAAAATGAGCTACAACTTAAAGTCTCTTTTCCTGCAACTGCTTTTGAAAGCTGGAAAGGGAAATATCCTGCAGGGTAGATGAAGCGATTTTTCTCATTAAAGAGAGAATCTGATAATTCTGTGGGAAATAAATTCTAATAATAATTATAATAATTCTAACAGGAAATAAATTCTTCAAGACAAAAAAACAAACAAACAAAAACAAAAACAAAACCACAACCAAACAAAAAACCCAACTGTTTTGTAAAATCATAAAAACAAACCAGAATTAAAAAAAATTCATCAGCATTTCAATTAGAGTGCACAGACATTTTTTTCTTTAATTTTTGGTAATTTTTTTTTAGTCAAAGTGACTAATATGCGCACACTTTTTTGGTGCGTATACATCAGCTAGGTGTAAATTCAGATGTAATAAGCCATAATTGGAGCTGGGATAGACCCACTTTTACCCTCACTGTAATCTTTTTGACCTTGAGGTGTCACTGACTAACTGTAATGAAGCAGCATCTTTAAAGTCCTCATTTCATGCCATGCAACATATATACAAAGGAGAGAATCTCTTTATACAGACAGCCTTGATACAGTTAGGTAAAGCAAAAATTGAAAGAGAAAAGAGAAGACACCTTTGCCCAAAGACAAAGGCAGGTCAGTGTGCAGGTGAGAGCAAAACCTGATCTTCCCAGCTTGCCAGGAAGCACCCTGGCAGTTCAAGGCAAGCTGCATCTCAAGTCTGTCTGCACAACATGCAGTGGGACTCTGCCTTTATGTAAGAGTTTGGCTTAAAGGAAACGTGCACTTTTCACAATAAAAGCAACAAAAAAAGAGCAAAGGAAACACTTGAAGGGCCACCTTGACCTTGAGACTTCACTAATGCAGTTAGCTACTTTCAACCTCCACATCCTGACACGCTGTGGGAAGATGTGCACAGGTTCCCTCCACCCTTTGTGGTTCTGCTCTGTGCATAATCCAGTTTGTCGTGCAGGGACTCTGGGGGTGGGATTTGCTTGCAAGTGCAAGCATGCCTTTCAGTCAGGGAGTTACCAGAGACAGCAATGTGCATAGTATTAGCTCAGTTTTATTCCTTTGGCTGGATTACAATAGAGCTGGCTATAAAAATGCTTGTGGCTGGTACTCATGTTAGTGCCACAGTGGTGTTCCAGACACAATGAAACCTTATTCTACTATGCATCACTATATGTTTTCAATCAAGATTGCTTAGCCTCGGGAATCAAAATCTGCCCACTAGTCAGTATGCAAACACATGCTACTGCAAATACAACAGCAGTAAGAATAATGTGCCTGTATTTAGCTTTCATACTAGAAATGGGCAACTGTCTTCTGGAAAAGTACTTGCTTTATCACCAACCGTAAAACGTATTCAGCATACTCTAGTATCAGATCACCACTGTACTTTAGAAGGAAAAGTCAAAAGAAAATTTATAAAAAACAAAAAAGGAAAAGAAAAAAAAAAAGAAGAAGATATGGTATAAAAACTGTACCTGTAAGTTAATATTTGGACCTGGACTTATAGGAAGAGTGGCTGTTGCAAGTGTCCGAGTGAGAAGCTGGTTAGGAGGATTGCTGCTAGGCGGATGTGTGGCCTTCCAGTAGGCTTCCAGATAGTCAGCAAGGTGCTCACAAGCATCTTCCAGCTGGTTCTCATCAAGAATTACATCGAACATTTCCTGATAAAGGAAAAGTTTTAATGAAGATAACCACCAGCTCAAGAGAGATCAGCTAGTGACATTGATGACTACTCTTTGCATTCATAAAAAATGAACCACATTTATAATAATTGTATTAAGATATTTCACCTTTTTTTTTTTTTCCTTGCAAGTAATACAAAGGACAGAACTTATAACTCGTGCTGATGTTACATTTGCCAAGTCAAGCCCTCATGAATTCCACTTAGTAATGCACCATCAGTCAATGAAGGTGAAAATAAGTGGCTTGAAGAAATTTTAAAACTCAAATATTCAGAAAGAAAGGTTAAATATTAAAGCTTCTCAGCTACTGAAACAAAACTGAACTGTTAGAAAAAGAGTCCAACATCCATATATAGAACAACTCAGACAAAATTAAGACAAACTAAGACAAATGAGTAAATAGCAAGAGTAATAACAAACATAAAATTTCCAAGTTAATATAAATACTGGGCAAAAGATTAATCACAAGCAGGGGGAGAATTTCTTCTCTAGTCAGGGAGTTAGATGTCCTCCTGAAGGCAACTCTGAAAGCCCATGCAGGTTTCTAGCATTGTTCATTGACTTCCTGAGGAGCTGAGAAACTAGTATCATAGTTGAGATACTTGATCTTCAATGACGAAAACGTTCCCCTCACTTGGCTTCTTAACTATGGCAAATTTCCACATCTGTAATTGAACTGAATGTTTGTCTTTTGGGTTCTGATCACACTCCTGGCAGCTGAGTTTGCTGGTAATACTGCTTCCCACATCTTACAAACGGCCTATGTGCATATGTCAATAGAAGAACCACAGAGTTCTCAGCTATGTGCTCTTTGCCAAAACTGTGATCAAGAATGTCAGCAGTGATGGATTGTGGTGACAGGAGAACTACTGACGTGAGAACTACTCAAGTCACCTGCGTTACCTTAAACTGCACTGTCATTAAGAGTTCATTTTTAGATCAATAACTCAGAAAAATATATCAAGTAAAACAAACACTCAGTTTGTTCAAGCGGTGCATGTATTCAGCACATATCCTAAAAAAATGTTTGTGACAAGGAGTGTTTTTCCTCTGTATCCTTGTGAAGAGCCCAGAAACCTCAGGAGGCATTCTGCAAAAAAAGCAGTGAAATATGGCCAGAAGGGAGGAAACAGTCCTAGCAATTACATAACTAACTTGGTTGACAGGAAAGGCAACTTTAAACAAGAATCAGCTCTTCTTGGCTGAACAAGACACACAAATCAACATCAACTCACAGGAGGACACTGTGCCAGTTTATCAGCTGCCACCATCTGAACATTAAGGTGTTTGGCCTGAGATTTCCCTCGAGATTTTATTAACCTCTGTAAAACCTGTGGAAAATAAGACATTTATAAAAGTATGTTGGTAGAGGAGAAACAAGCAAACAAACCAACCAACAATAAGTTTGACCTCTCTCCCATTCATTTTGAGAAGTAAGTGGCCTCTAAGCAGATATGGACATAATATACATCTTCAGCCACTTAAAATCCGCTTTAGCAGATGATTTTCTTCATTTCCGGCTTCAGGAGCAGCTCCCTTGCTGTTTAAATTCAGAACAAGCTAATTTTCATTTACACCCCAACATCTATGTGCTGTTACCAACACTAAAAAGTTCCCTTCCTGTTTTCCTCTGCCATTTCTGTGTTTGTTTCTAAATCAAAATTATTCAATTGCTCTCCTCAGTAATCTTATCATTTTTCAATCTTGTCTTTCAAGTGCCTCTTCACAAGGCAGGTTTTTCAGAGCATGAAAGTACATAACCAGGAGGTGTTAGAGTTCACTACATCACTCTGATACTCTGATTACTTTAAAATCTTTCCTTCTTTTCTCTATTGATTGAATAAATCGTTAGCATCACTTACAAGATTGATACTAAAGAACACACACAGCACAATCCCAATTTTAAAAATCATTGGAGCTACAGCGTCTTTTCCCAAATATGTTTTGGTAACCTGACAGCTAAAGTATTCTTTGATTAGTAATATTTCACTATCCTAATTAAAATATTAACAGTATATAACTTTAATAAGGACACATGATCATCTGCATTTAACAAAGCAAAATAAAAAGAAAAATGCCTACATAACACAAATATCAGTAAAATATTTACCTTAGGAGAAGAAATCTTTACGTATACTATAATGGGTGCCAGAGAGGTTTTGCTCAGCTGTGCTGGGTGATTTATGGTGTCAGCATCGAGCACTACCAACTGCAGTGTCCTTGCTAATTCAAAAATCCGTTCAATTTCACTCTGAACTTCAGCTGCAGGTAAGAAGAAAATCAGTCAGGAAAATGTTTAAAGGCAAATAATTGTGAGCTATGTAAAAAAAACCCTGAAGTATGCTGATGTGTTGCTCCACCAAAGGATGATGCAGGTGGGAGCAGCCACTAACTGCTCATGTATGCTGCTGGGAAATGAAGGCAGCATTAGTTGAGAGCCCCAGCTCACCTTCCCTGCAAGGGGACTCCCTGACCCTCTCTGCCTCCACTGCTCTCACTTTCCCATATGACCCTATCCCTTGTACATAAGAGAAAAAACTGCTGCATCATGTACCTATCCCTATGCGATTGTTCCATGTAAATAATTTCATCTTGGGCATTAATTCCATATGGCAATCAATTTGCTCAAACTGGACTACCTAGGATAGGCATTAAGATGCACTGAAGTGTCTACAGCAGCTGAAGGTTCTGTTTTTCCATTTATTTCAACTCACCAAAGCATCAGGAAACAGGATTTCCTTCGTATAGTATGGTGCCATATTAAATATTTGGTCTTAATTCCCAAAGGAAACAGAAACAAATGATGAAAAAGCAAAATCATCCTGGAAATGGAATGACATTTTCCTGCTCAAGTCTTGCCATGTCTTTATTTCACAGAGAAGTGCCCCTCTACTTTGCTCTCTTGAAGCTTTCTGTGGAGTACTGCGTCCAGTTCTGGGGGTCCCAAAACAAGAAGGACATGAAGCTGTTGGAGCAGGACCAGAGGAGGACCACGAAGGTGACTAGAGGGCTGACCTCCTCTATGAGGACAGGCTGAGAGAGCTGGGGCTCTGCAGCCTGGAGAAAAGAAGGCTCTGGGAGGACTTCATAGTGGCCTTCCGGTACCTGAAGGGGGACTACAGAAAGATGGGGAGGGACTTTTTGTAAGGGCATGTAGTGACAGGACAAGGGGAAAGGGCTTTAAACCAAAAGAGGGACAATTTAGACTAGATACTAGGAAGAAATTCTTTACTGTGAAGGTGGTGAGACGCTGGAACAGGTTGCTCAGTGAGGCTGTGGGGCTCCCCTCCCTGGAAGCATTCAAGGTCAGGCTGGATGTAGCTTTGAGCAATCTGATGTAGTGGGAGGTGTCCCTGCCTGTAGCAGGGTGGTTGGATCTTAAAAGTATCTTTTAAGTCGATCTTAAAAGTATCTACCAACCCAGACTATTTCAACTATTTCAACTTGTGAAATTATACAAATGAGGGACTTTCTATGAAGTTTCCCTTTTAAGATTGTGCACACTCCATGAAACAAAATCAGTATAGATACCTAGCCAGTTCAAAGCAAATATTAGAAGATATCGAGCAGACACTTAAATGTCAACAAGAGGTACTAACTACTTACTAAATATTTTCTTGAAATTACACTATCAGCATTTTATCTATTGTGCTGGCCACAAGTATTATGTTTACTGGAAAATGCGACCAATGGTGTCTGGCTACCTGAATAGCTACTCACTCAAGAAAAGCCTCTCTCTAAAGAAGGATGTCCTTTTCAAGAGGTGTTAGGAGATAAATTTTTGTCTTCCTAGAATAGCATAAAAATTTGGCAGCACAATAAGGCTGAAAAATTTCCAGGAGAGAGAATTTCACCGTTGTATATCTCCATTCACTTCAAAGTCTTTCGCTACAAGTTAATAAGTGAATACTACAATCACTTCATGAATTAAGTAACATGTTAAGTAGCTAGCAGAAAATGTATGTGTGATATTCTCTACTGGAGGAGTTCGACGTTGTTTTGGATCAATTAAAGATCCTCTCCATCCATTTGTAGTTACATCCTGTTTTGGCGGAATCCATGTCAGTCTTTAACAACAGAGAAGATTCTAAGATGTGCATGGTGTTCTGGAACAGAGAGCATCATTGTGTGCTTTCCTGCTTGTCAATAAAAGCCCAATGGCCCAGCTGCTGTCTGAATTAGGAGCATGTTTTTGAAGACGGGACTTCTGATAGATCTTGGCACATTTATGATTACATATTCAGCAATTTCAATGTGTATAGATATTGCTGGAATGATTCAATATCATTACCTCTGTGATTTATTAGAAGATAAGCAATAGTCTACCCCTAAGTTAAGTCCAAGCAGCAACTAGAATAAACAGATCAGAGACTATTTGTCTCTGTGTATTGACTATTCTGATGATGAGATTGAACCGCTTTCCTGCAATTGTAAACCAGGCTCAACGCTTCAGTCAATATAACAATATCAGCTAATGTATAATTTTTAATACCATTTCAGACAGCTGAAAACCTTTGTTCAAGACGAACTTTATCTGCAAAATCTGTTTTTTTGACAGCATATCTTAATTGTGGCTGGGGAAGTAGTATTTGCTACACTACTGGAAGAACTTTTCTGCCAGTATAGGATATATCACTGCATACTAAGATTTCCTGCTATAGTTTTAGAAGCAATACTTGGCTAGGGCTGAGGATGCCTTACTATCTGCTGTTGTGAATCATATTCAGGGCAATAACTGCAGGTAACTATAGTCCTATGAACCAACAACTTTCCACCTGTGTCTGGAGGTGGAAAGAGATCTTTTTCATCAATTAAAGGGCATTTCAGTATTTATCTTTCTAAGCTCTGGAACAGGAAAAAAGTTCAAGGACCAGCACTGCATGGCTTCAAGACTAACATGTGCTTCTGCCTCTCAAATCAAGAGTGGGTGAAAAAATGCCACAGAAGTCTCCGATGAGGTCCCAATCTTCTGTCCCTTGGAGTACTTCTCCAGCTTCTCGAAAAAACCTGCATTTTTTCTTGAAACCATCCTTATATTCCACCTCTCCATTATACATATTACTTCTGCAATTACTGACATAATAGTAGTTTTTCTTTTCAGCTTTTTTTTTTTTTTAAATTTTCCATCTTTTAGTAAACAATTTGCTTGCTGAATATATTTCATTTACATGTTCAGGTAACCTTGGTTATTATACACATATCTATAAGCTTAAAAATTACATTACAATATTAATTAGTCTCTGGCACACATTTTATGCCAATATAATTATCAATCATATGTAAGTCAGTGCAGTACCATGAGAAAATGAAGAGATGTGTTGCTGAGAGCTCTCTCTAATTCAAAGGAAATTGTTTTTTTCTTCATATGTCCTTTAAAAACCCTCAGGAAGTTTCATTAAAATGCTTTGACAATACTGTATCAAAAAATTATTTGGAAGTTAGAATTTTGGAAAGTCAGAACAAAACTTCTACTTCAGAATTACCTGGAGAATTCATTAAAGACGTCAGATGCTAACAAGATTGACCTGGCAGAAAACTCAAAAAAGCATCCTGAGACAAAAAAGGCTGATAAATTAAAAGAGGTTCAGGATCTTTATGCCAGTCATTCCCCACCTGTGTGTAAAATGACATAAAGCCACATCCTCACGACAACCCCAAGCTGCTTGACGTTCAGCAGGTTACTTCATCAAATCTGGGAAAGTAATGCCTACAGCTGATAGTTCTGTACATTATAAAGAGACAACTAGAATTTCTCATGACACACTGAACATGTTTTTCTTTCTCTTTTATCTACATTAGATCCTTGAGGCTTTTAAACAGAAATACAGTCTTGGTCAAATCCCAATTATGCATTCCTGTTCCATTGCCTCTCTAAGTAGGAAAGTAGTCTTCTGAAACTTAGCTAACTTTAAAGCTTTCTCCCTAGATCTGATTTCTGGGGTTACACTTCCTAGAAACATGTCATGTATAAAACAATTGACATTAAACTGTCAAGCATGGAGAATATATAAAGTTATCATATGTATATTATGTATGTGTAAATTGTTACTAAAGTTTCAAGCATTTAACTGGACTTTCACATAGATATCAAGAAATAAAATACAATGCTGAAATTTGCACTGAAACTTCATTACTGTTTCTTCAAGCTTTTCTATTTTACCTTGAAAAACCAAAACTGTGGGATATCAACCAAATGACGTGAATGGGAGCTTTATATTTGTCTTGAGACAGATTTCCAAAGGTAGGCATTTGATTGAACATGCAAATTGGGTGCATATAATGCCTGATTTGTTACTACTTATGCACATACAATTTGGTACACAGCAGCAAACAAACAGATTCACAGCCATTTGACTGCAATCAATTTATGATATTTTACATCAGCATTAATATGTGCAATAGAATATATAGACTAGACACTTTAGAAATTTATAGTTGAAAACCTTGTTCATTTCAACTTCACTTTTAGAATTACTTAAATAAGGAAAAATGGCAAAATTTACAGGGGAAAAAGAAAAAAAAAAACTCGAACAAAACAAAAAAAAATTAGCAACACAGTATAGCATTGACTTTTGTCTATAAGTGAGCCAGTTACTAGAAACACTGTGGTTTTGTGAGGTACAACAAAGCACTGAACACAAAACAGCAGGAAAAGTAATTTGCAAGCTTTTATACATACCCAAAACATCTGGAAAGGGAGAGCATTAATGAAGCAAAGAATGGAAAAAGCCAAGACAATCAGGTTCTTGTACAAAGCATACAGCATGAGGCAAGGTTATAACAAGTGTAACATACACAGCAACAACGAGAAAAAGGCTTGGGTCATTTTGACAAAGAAATGCAGCAAAAACACAAAGCTCGTTCAGCAGTTTCTGCAAACGACATGTGCACATGCAGAAGTTTAACCAAGCCAATAGGACTGACTGATTTTCAGGTGAATGGGATTTAACCATGTATTGTACTTGCTTGAAAAGTCTTTTTTGAAATTAGAGATTTCTTTTAGGCTTTTAGAGAAATGAAACAATTGCCCTTAAGTTTAGTTAAACTCACAGAAGTACTGACAAGCAAATATTTCCCTTTAAGAATAGAGGAAGTTTTCACATAGGAGAATAATGAAACTGCACCGTTCTACTAAATCTTTATGAGCCGGTCACTATTTTCTAAGATCCTTAAATAGATTAATTTTACACTAGAATTCTCAAAGAATCATAAATATTTATCTGTAGCCTTGGTTTCCAACGAATCAAATCCCCAAGTCTGTT